ATAATTAAGTGGTGTAACAAAATGGCATGACACTTCACAGAAATTATAATTTATTGTTACAAAGCAATCACTGTATTAATATTTACAGTTTCGGTACGGTTTTATTCGGTTTCTAATATTTCTTTTCTTAGAGATACACTATAATTAATTATAACATTTTCGTTTTTACGTTCTTTCTACTTTAAGATAGATCTACCTAAACGTTTTTAGTTGTATTCGTGTTCTCTCTCGTGAACGAAGTATTTTAGAACTGTTATATTTTCGGAAAAGTGGATGATAAGTATCGTTTAGGGGTTGAATTTCATACCTTTCAATCAAACGTTTTAATTCACAAAACGGAGTACAACATTTTATAGAGTATGTTAAAGTAATATTTAATTTTTCTTTACATTAACGTACTCTACTTGACAAGAAGAACAATAATGATTTTTTCTCAACGATTTGATCGTGTAATCCTATATTTACTTTGTTATACCTTATCACTCTCCGGAATAGTTTCTTATCTGACCTGAGGTATAATATAATGATGTACGCTTCCCTATTGAAACAACATTTAATTCTTGTATCTGTATCCATTTCCACTTGAGGTTTAAGAATTCTTCACGTTGATGAAACATTGTAAAATTATTTTGAATTGCCATTACATAGGAAAGTTTAACGTATGAAGCATTCCAATTTGCTTATATACTTATTTAATAATTCATAGTGGAAAATATAGTCCAGTAAACAAAATGGAAAGAAGATTGGTTGGTTAGAACTTATATATTTATTAGTCTACAGTAATGATCATATTTTGTAATGTTAATGACACTTCTTTTAAAATTCTTGGCTATGCTGAAGAAAGTTAAAATAGAATAGAAGGAAAAGTAGAAATGATCCGCGGATAAAAATTAAAATTCATCATTAGAAATAATATTAAAACTATTGGTTCTTAAATTAGAGTGACATAAAATAATTGCTGTTAATTACTTCTTTTCGGAATTTACGTATCGTTATATAATTCATTAGACAGTTAGCTGGGTAAAGTATAACAGTGATAGCAGGTCTTCGTAGCTACATGAATATAAATATATTCATTGTTCCTAAGAGTTTAACTTTTTTCTCGAAAACGGAACTTGTTCTTTCTTCTCGAGTAGAAGACGTTACCGCGAAAAAGAATTTAACATTAATATTTAACGTTATAAATAAGTCTGTAATAAACTTTTCTTGTACGCATCCTTCGAGCCGAGTATATAATATTACTTTTTGTACACCTTGTACAATAAAATATCTTACTCGTCACACCTTTAATTTCCAGTTAATTTTGCCCTTATAATGTGAAACACGTAAACTGTATTATAATTCATTTAGTATATTCGAAGTAGATGGAATTGTTTATTTTTCTTTTCGTTAAGAAATTGCACACACAAATAAAATTGTTCTCCATTCAAGTATGAATATACAAAATTATACGTTCAATATTGACGGATCAAAATAAGTTGATATAATATTCGTAACACTCTCTCATTTCAATTTGTACATTTATATTTCAGAGATAGTTGTGAGTAATCTTTAAACTTCGTTCGTGAAGGTGTCGTTACATCTCCTTACCAATTTTCCTGACAACTTTTCATACACCGTGTAACACAGTTAAGTTTTATTTTAATGTTCTCAGTATACTTCTTATTAGTACATAATCTATACGATTGGACCATCTGTCAGCCATACATGCACAGCCTGACCATAATCTTCCGTAGTTCTATTTAATAATTCTTCTTAAGTATTGATACTGACCGTAAATGGCTCAATGATTTCATAAGTGTTATTCATTGCCCTGGTTCACCTGTTTTCTTTCTGGGACGTTAAACCCCTTTCCATCGCGCAATTTCCTTTTAATTTGCTCCCCACCCTTACACTCTTTCCGTTCAACAGTTATACTATACGTAATAGACACCACCGATGATATCCTCAATAATGGTGCGACTAGTTATCGAGGAGGAGATAGATTTCGTACATAGAAGATAGATTGTTGAATTCTATTAGAGTACAATGTTGCCTACATTAAAGTAGACGAGATATACAATGCGTTCTGTACCCCTCAAAAAATTCTCTGATCGTTTTCAGTGGAACTAATAGAACAGCTTCATTCTAATTGTTTGTTAACTCGTTGGAACACAGTTAGCTGATAATCCACTTGTTACGATTATTTTGTTATGTATACCGTTAACCCCTTGCCTTACGATTTATTTCGTCTCATATGTTTATGCTTATGCCATTTAATTTTGTCGCAACTTTGTGGATACAACTATTATAAGAACTGAATGTAATTAAATCGTCGATAAAAACTGGAGTACTATACGTTCAATGAAATTTCTTTACGAAAATACGAAAATGATTTTGGTTACGATATGGCAGATTTATCAAATAATGTACAAAATCATTATTTTTCGTTTAAAATGTAAGGAAAAAAGATTTTTATTTCTTGTTCCGTGCGAATAATATCACACTTCTCTGTTCGTGACGTTAAAAATGGTATTTAATGTCAAATAATTTTTTGAAGAAGTTCGTTGGGAAACGTGAATTTTTATAAAGTACAATTTCAGGTATTGAAAAGCAGAGTATTTCCCCCTTTTTGCTGGGGTCTTTGAGGTCAGGTAACGAAACCATAGAGAGTATTGGATTTTGCCATCGTTCTATTATATACATATCCTTGGTGCTTTTAGTTTGCACCCTAGCTTTAGTCGTCGGCAAACGTAAAGTAAGGTTCGCCTTCTCCTGTTACGTGTGGAGAGGCTATTGTATACTGTTTTGTTAAATAAAATCTACAAAATCTGAAGTACCATTTAAATATCTATTTCAGATGACCAAAAGAAAATCTGCGATAATAAATGAAGTGACAAAATTTTATTGGTATTCTTCTTATCTTCTTATTGTTTTCAACTTAGGGTAAATAGGATAAATTTAAGTATCGTTCGTGTATAAAGTTTTGCTTTTATGGTTTTAAGGAAAAATAAGTATATGTAAATTAAAATGCTAAATTTTATAAAAATGAAATATACTGCAAGTTATATATTGGTTTTACTTACTAAACTGTGCTCCAAAGAGTTTGCATGAGCTTTCACTAATTAATAATTAGTAGGCGTAACATTTTTCGCTCGAGATCTTCAAAACATTTAAAAAAACTATTGTGAATTACTTCCATAGGTAGTTACTTCATGACTCGCTATCGTATAATAAATAATTTGTCTCTATTCGAAGTAACATTTCCTGTTAATTCAAATGAATTGATTATCTAAACGTTGCGTTTCCTAATTAATTCAGATAACCACTGTCACGTTGCAAACAGAATTGAGTTATGTTTGTGTCGATGTTCGTATGAACGTTTGTAAATAATTTGGAACGGTTTCGGAATTACATTTCCATGTTCGCTTAACAAAAGATCATCATATTTTTGAAACGATTAACTCGTTAAATGCCATGTCAGTTACCGATGACTGAAACTTCCGAATTGCTAAAAAATAATTATAATATGTAGCATAACTGATAACGAATAAAAGTGTTTAATAACGTAAGTAAGTTGACAATAGTGTAATGTAAGTGTTACGATGCTAAAAAATTAATGATCGTTCCTATTTATCTTTGCTACGAAAGAATCAGTGTTATGTAAAACGCCCAAGATTTCCGTGGCGCTTAACGTGTTAATAAGCGTTCAGAATACTTACTCGGATTCATGTGAAGCGAATGCTTCTAAAATGTTTTATAATCGTTGAAAATAAATTTAGCGTAACATTTTGTAATTATTTCGACACGTTTTGCGCAACATTTACTTCCCTCTTTTTTCTTTTTAATAAAATCTCGCAGCGTAACAATTTGTCTGTAAGTTGTTCTCAAAAGTTCATGCTATTTACGGTTTAATAATCACATTAGCGAATACTACTTTGCTCTAGTTCCTTGGCATTTACAAAATGAAAATCTCGACACACGAGTGATAACGTGTACAACGATTCTTGCAGGCCGTGTTTACACCTGTGCAACCTGTGTGCGGCTAAATGCCGTTTTCACACTGGAACAACGCGTGCCGAAAACGTCGCTTGAAATTCTCAAAAAAGTCGACTGTTACGATCGAATACAGACTGGGGTGCTGCGAAAGTTCATCAAAACGGGATTCGTCGTTAAAGCTCGCATGCAAATGCTTGCGCGCGTTTCGTTCGACGGAATAATGTTGACGTATTTTGCATATTTCACCTACCCGTGCACCGATGCATTATGGATATCTCGCGTAACAGGACGAATTGTGTACTTTCGAAGTACAATACAAATCAACTTTTATTTTAATACGTTTTATCGACGAAGCGTATCCTCGTGTTATTACTTTCCTGATTCCAGATATTACGTATCATATGTTTAACACTAGAACTACCAGATGGGTCAAACTGACCTATTTCTGATTTCGTCTATTACAATGACTGAAAAGGTATAGATAGTTCTTTCAGAAATGATTAAGACTTTCGCTGTCACAGTGGTCCCGTGGAACCAGAGCTTCATATTGACTTGCAAACAAGACAACTGACGTCGAATAAAAGTATTCGATAACGTAAATAACTACATAATAGTAAGTAGTAATTCTAGTAATAAAAGTAGTAATATCAAATAATTAATAATTGTTTCTTTTTATCTTTGCTACAAAGGAGTAAGTGAAAACGCTCATGTTTTTCGTGGTAGTCAACGTGTTAAAGAATCTGATTCAATGACATCTAAACTGAAATATAAGTGAAGTCAAATCTTAATAAATGTACGTTTACAGCTTCTATAAAGAAATTTTAAAAAAGTTAGTTTAAGTGCTCAGTAATTCTAGTGTTAATACAGCGATTTCCAAACTGGGAGGCGCGAACTAGTGCAAAAGGGAGCGCAAAAAGTTATTATTCTGTCGATTACGTTTTTTCATTTTTTGTATTAATATGTTTTTCACCATTTCAAAATGCGTCTGTATTATTTGG